CACCTGAGCTTGCACGCTCTTTCCCAGCTGCTTCTCTAAGAGGTGTTCCCAGAACACCTGCATTTCCCCAGCCTCACGGGCTGATGAAATGGGTGTCATGACCCCTCAAACCTTGGTGCTCTCTGACCTTCCTCACTACAGCAGTTTTGCATGTTGGTCTAGGAATACTAAGGTAAAATCCCAATACAATTTGGTTTACTCTCCTTTTCCTAACACACATTTATATCTATTGACATCAATATCCACATTTATGACATTGAAGGAATCATATTTAGGCTGTTGTTCCCTGAGTTCTTCATATTCACACTGAGTATGTTTCTTCACAATTAATTACAAACTTAAATTCTCTTCTGGGACCTACCACAGAAGACAGGCCTTCCCAAATTACCACTCAGGTCAAACTGAACACTGCTTTCATGGCCAAGGTCCATGTCTGTGAGGCCTAATGACAGCATTTCACTGAAGAAACTACCCAAGTCCCTCTTCTTCATTCTCCTGCCAGTTGTTTAATAAATGTACTCCCCTGCTTTCCTGGATTTACAACTGATCTAAACAAAACTCTCATCTTCACTTCTGCTTAGTGACTCTTCCTTTGTTTAGTATAACTTATTTCCACAGACAAAAAAAAAATAGGGCCTCTAGAACTTGTAAGTTGTCTGGCAACACATCTTACAACAATAATTTGGTTGTATTTATTTGCTAGCTAGGAAATTTCTTCAGATGAAATACTGTCATGCTCAGCTGGAGGCAGTAGCCTATTCACATATTTTTTAAGAAAGCTCTTTTAAAATTTTTCTTTCTGAGCTCTGCAGAGAAACAGCCATGAAGAATAACCCAGAAGCCTAAAGCATCAGGTGGAGCATATTGCTTTAGAGGAACCAGAATGAGTCTGGAAAGTCTTGCTTTCAGTAAGCAATTCTACTGCCAGTGCTAAAGACTGACCTGTCAATACCACTCTGTTTGGACCATGAAGTATTCTAGAAAGCCCTAAATACTTAAAGTTTTGAATTCAGTAACAAGTTTGCATTAGACCTTGGCTTCAATCTAAATAGGAGGAATCATTGATTCAGTAAATTCAGAATTTATAAATTAAACTCGAAGTATCAAAATAAGTTAACCTAGAAAAACATGGTTGTTGTTACACAGTGAAGATCACTTTTATGCAAAATTCAGCAGAAGAATAGCTTGGGAATACCCAAAAAGTTCTCTTTTGGCAGTGTCCAGGTTTGGGATTCAGCTCTGTCCTCTCCTTGGAGGCATCTGTTCACTAAAATTCATCAATACAAAAAGGCAACACAGTGAAAAGCTGAAATATTACCATTTCAGTAAAGTGCAGGGGGCTGTGGCAGACACAATGGCTTTCTGCTATGACCTTATCTCAGATGCTGAATTAAACACTGGGGCTGCCAGGTTCTTTACTATTCTATTGAGGTTGGCAATTTTTTCTTCCAGTAAATAGTTTTTCCTTTCAGCAGTTTTCTGCCGCTGTTCTGTCATCTCCAAAGCCTTCAGCAGCTGTGCATTCTCAACATAGAGGTCCTTGACCATTGCATCTGCTTTAGTGTTCTTGGTAAGCTGAATTGTGAATAGAACAACATTACTCAGCAAATTTAAAGCAAAACTAAAAGAAAAAAATAATTAAAAGCAAGAACAGTGCTGGGAAAGCAGGGGAATGTATTTATTGTAAATTGAATATCAAAGGAAGGCAACACAGTCATTCATCTTATTTTCCTTTGTTAAAACCTACATGTTTGTGGAATCTTTTTAGATACTATGAGTATTTTGAAACCAGAAAGACTTTGAAAGGGGATCAGGCAGGTGGCAGTGCTGCTACCCAGTCTTGTCCAATGAGTACTGCTTCATGGCATCTGTTCTCTAAGGGTAAGTCTGGTTCACAAGAGGATCCACCAGCACCCAGTGATCCCACAGAGATACTTCCTCCAAGGTTTGGACCATCAAGTCCTCTTATAAAATTGGGAAGAGCAGCCTAGCACTTATCTACATGCTTTTGGGAACAGCCCTTTGCTTTGGCTTCCTTAATGTGAGAGAGGAGACTGTACCTCAGCAGAAAACAGCTGTTAACACATTGTGCCCAAGTGTCCAAACCCCATATTTTCCTACTGTTGAGGACCTTTGAAGAAGGCAGACCAGGGAAAGAACAAAAACCCCAAAACCACATCAAGCAAAGGGTGTGTTGGGGCAGGGAGCATGGAAGAATCAATACAGTAATCCTGTCTATACTCTTCAGGAAATTCTTTTTCCTCCTTTTCTAAGCAGCTTTCCCAGTTAAGATCCTTGGCTGGAATGTGATGTTTGTTTCCTGACTTGAAGTGCATCAGCATTCCAAAATGAACATAGCTTTTAGGAAACTAATGAGCAGTGGATTCAGTCCCCAGTTGGGAGATTTAGGAAATTTTGGGTAGATGTGCTGCACTTTAGCTCAGAAGTATTGAAATAAAAAGGAAAGCACCTTTATCCTAAGCAAGAATGGGTTGGCAGCTTTTGCTCACTCATTTATGGAAGTCACAGGGATGATTTAAGAAGGAGACTAAGAATGCTTACTTGTTCTTTCAGCTGATTTACTTTATCCTGGAGAAGCCTCTTCACAAGCCTTAGCTTCTGTTCAACATCCACCATGCGTTCTTCCATCATTTTTAGAAGCTGCTCATGACCCGCCTGGAAAGCAACATTTATATGAGAATCAGTTCACAAAAACCAGTTCCCATTCACCAGTCTGCCCTCCTTTTCTTTCCCTGCCCGCGTGCAGTTTATGCTTAAGAAAACTGCTGGCACTCCACATGTGAGTCTGTTGTGAAGAGTCTGCTGAATTAACAAACCATGTTATGGCAACACTTCAAGGACACTCACAGCACTTGAACTAGTTTTCCAAGTCTAAGCTACACTTGAGATTACCAGATTTAAGAAAAAAATTGATATAAAATTCTATGTTCTGTCTTCACTGTGACAGATCTGGATAGTTTCCTTTTCTTGTTCTTACGTGCTGCCATATTTCAGCTTCAGTTTCAAAACACCAAATTCTTAATTTCAGTAGAAAAATCAAGGTGAAGCCATAAGGGCATGTTAGTTTAACAGTAAACTCTCCCACACCACAGACCCCTTGAAATGGAGTAATATCCTAAAATATGCTAAACCAGCAGGATGCCATTATTCCAAACTTTTTTTTTTAAGATTAATTGCTGATAACTGTTAAGTTTCCAAATAGTAAGTCTAAAATGCTTTTGCTCTTTTTCTTCAGTCAGGTAACAGTCCAACCAAAGTACAGCAACTCAGTATGATGAGAGTGCCTGTTACACCAACAGCTAAGTGACATTTTCCCAAATAAATTAGAAACACCAGGAACTACAAGAAAGCTTGTTTGGGTTTGGGAACTGTAGACACTGGCTGCAGGGAAAGGGGCTCTTTATGTTAATAGTAGCTTGTTACTTTAATTCCAGGAAGTCACTGGAAGAGATTAATTTTGAGAAAGCACTAACCTGCTGCCCAGAACAAAATACCTTCAAAACCAAAGTACCTTCACATATGTGAGAGAGGATAAATGGGAAACTGAGGGAGGTGTTTCAGGTAGGTAGCTGCTCATCTAAACTACTGTAGCAAGATCTCCTGAGGGGATGGACTGAAGTCCAGAAACCCCTCAAGTCTATGTGTGGGGTCAGATGATCATTTAGCTTGTGAAAAGAATGGATAAAAGCTACATACATAAAAAGAAGTTTTGCATTGTTGCTGGACTGGATTAAAAAAGTACCACTGAGCAGAACTTGCAGGGGACTTTCCAGCAAAGTTACCTTTAGCATCTTTTTGTAATTTGATTGGAATTCAAACCATGGCTGGCTATTACACTTCATAGTGGTTGCAGGAGCCTTGAGTGAGTAGTTCAGTGGAAACCTAAGAATTATAGTGGCCTCAATACCTGTGGTCCCTGTTTTTTGGCTTAAAGTTGATTTGAGAATGTTCTAACTTCATGATTAACCATGATTAATGGGCAAAGCCAGCTAGAAAGATGCAAAGACAGGAGCAAAAAGACCTTTGAAAGCAAAGAGCAGAAATGGTTTATGACTCCCAACTAGAACACCATAGGCCTTAAAGAGTTGTTTTGCTGACCTCTTGAGGTATTAAAAAAATCTAGTTTAATCTAGTCATTTGAGAGAAAAGAAAATCACTAAAGAATGTTATCCAAGAAACATGTGTATGAATAATTTTCCCTTTTCTGGCACTTTTTTTCTTTTCCTGGCTTCACTAAAGAATGTTATCCAAGAAACATGTGTGTGAATAATTTTCCTTTTTCTGGCACTTTTTCTTTTCCTGGCTTTTTTCTTTTCTGGCCACAGCAGCAGAACATACCCATGTACCCTGCAAATTCTTTTCTTACATGTGCAGGTAAAGAGAAGCTGAGTATCTGTACCTAAATCCATCTCCTATTACAAATCCTTCCCATATGACAATCCTCAGTATCAAAGGCAAATATTTCACCTAAAAATCTGTTAATTCTTCTTCAGGAAGCTGAAGCTATTGATACTATCAAGACAAGAGACGTGATGTTTAAAAAAAACATTTTATTTTTCATTTACATCAAAAAAAATGTCACCTTTCCCTGGTAAAAAGTTTATACACCTTGTACAAAAAATGCAGTATAAATACTCCAGATTTTCTTCAAATCTCATATAAAATTAGTACCATTTGAGGAAAAAAAAAATAATAGTCTCTTTCCACACTGAACAGCTCCACATTTTTAAATAACATAAATAAAAAGTGTTTGTAACCAGTTAAAAATAAAGACAGTTTATGAACTTTCACAAAATAGCTTCTAGACAAAATAAATAACACTGTGGAGACCTGTTTTGTTGGGTTGTTTGTTGTTGTTTTTTTTTAAAGATATAGCAGAAAATAATTTTGATCCTCAAGTTTCTCAGCTTATGCCAGTTTGTGTGTTTGTGTGTGTTTTGTCATGGTAAGGAATGAGATCATAAGCAGCCAAGCTGTCAGAGGTGCCCGATCCTCCGGTAGGAATCTGCATGCACTGCTCGCTGCTCCGGTAGCAAGGCCTAGAGAAAGAAGGGAAGTGGGAAACTTCACCCTGATATCCAGATTTTTTTCTTTGAAATATTTACAGCAAACCACCCATCCAAGCGAAGCAAGCAAGGCAAGACAGGGAAAATAATAATAATAATAAAAAAACCACACTCAAAAGAAAACATGCAGGGCGTCACGGTGTGTTCGCTGAGCGCTGGTGTTAGCGCCGCACGCACGGGATTGGGGAGATGCTCAGGGTGCACTTTCTAGGGGGGAGGACCCTTCAGATGGTTCACCCGTGGTTTTTGGAGGGGTGCAAAGAGATTTTTGAAAGGCTGTGACTGAGAGGATGAGGGGGAATGGATTAAAACTTGAAGAGGGGAAATTTAGACTGGATGTTAGGAGGAAAATCTTCAGTATGAGGGTGGTGGGACCCTGGCCCAGGTTGCCCAGAGAAGCTGTGGCTGCCCCATCCCTGGCAGTGTTGAAGGGCAGGTTGGATGGGGCTTGGAGCAGCCTGGGCTGGTGGGAGGTGTCCCTGCCCATGCAGGAGGCTTGCATCTAGATGATCACAGAATCCCAGACTGGTTTGGGTTGGAAGGGACCTTAAAGATCATCTAGATCCAACCCCCTGCACAAGCTGGGATCTTTAAGGTCCCTTCAGTGATATTTAAGTGCTTATCTTTGAAAGTGCTTCTCTGCATTTCTCTTTTAAACCTAGTTGTCAGTCTTTTCCTGAGACAGGTGAACAAGTTGCTGGTCAGAGGTCATTTGAATTTTTAAATGAAGAGCTGAATGAAGAAAGGGTAAATTGAGTCACTCCAAGTACTCTGAACAAAAATATTGGTTAGGAAAGGTTCTAAGAAACCTTAGGAAAATATTTTGTCATGAACAGGCTCCCATATCTGGTTATTGAGCAAGGAACATGAGAGCAGCAATTGCTACTGTGCAGCAGGTAGAAGTCACAGCACTCGACACAACAGAAACAATCATTAGGAATTCAGGAGAGTCCAGACAGGTTAACACAGCAGAAAAGGCTCAAGGAGTTTTAATTGCATGAAATTTGAACATATGCCAGTAGCTTTTGGAGGACAATAGCTCAAGACTGACTGTAAAATGAATGAGAACACAAACCACCAGAGCCATAATAAAAAAAACAATGGAAACTGCAAAGCATGAGGAGCATAAAATAATTCCAAAAAGAAGGGGAACAGCTTTGGATACTTTATTACACAGAAGGACTCAGGATCTAAGAAGGCTGCAAAGTGCAAAGCAGCAGCAGCAAAACTAGGTGATTAAATGCACACAGAAAGCATGGAGATAACCTGACGTTGTACTCACTGGTGAAAAGATGATGGAGAGGGATTAGGAAGCAATTTTTCAAGATGCTAAAGGGGGACATTAAAATGGACATAAGCTCAACTAAGTGTTAACCCTGGAAATCAGGAGGATGAAGAAAAATCAACACTGAGAATTAAAGCAAAATGTGCTTACAAAAAAAAGTAAAGTTGAAAAACTACAACGAATTTGGCCTTGTTTATAGTTGCAGAATGCAGGTGTTAAATAATGGTTTTAGGAAGTTATCTAGTAAAGCCCATGAAAAAAAATCTGTAGGAGATGTTATAAACCAGAATATCCATTCACTTTAAGCAAAAATAAAAAACAAAACACCAAAAATCAAGCCCAACAGCCACAGTAGAAAAAAACCCATAAAAGGATTAAGTGCATTAGTGCTTTGACAGAAAATACTTGCAAAGTCTCTCAAAGTATTTTAAAATTCATGAAGCCTTCCAGAATAAAAGCTTTTACAGGAAACATAGAAGTGATTTATCTGTAGAACTACAGAGTTCCAGGATGTGACCACTTTGCAAATTGTTTCTCAGGCTTTCAAAGGCAACACTGAAGTCATGACTCCCAAAGCAACACACACAGCACGTTCAGAAGGGGCTGCTGCAATGTGGCTTTTATTGATGCCAAAACTCAACTGCATGCTCCACTTTCTGCTGTATGTGACCAAGAACATCAGCATGTGGTGATGCACTCCCCACCAGGACTCAGCTGAGAGGGAGAGAACCTTCCCATTGGTTTTACTTCTTTAAAAGGTGGGGGAACTGATAGATTTCATGCTTTTCTTAGAGCAGAGTTCTTCCTCCAAGTCTTGGAAGCTTAAGCAACTGTTACTACATATACTCTCTTTGCATCATGTCTTTTATCCAGAATACCCTGTTTACATGTTCAGAGATTTTTGAGCTTTAAAGTCTTGGTCTTTTTAATTTTTTTAAGTGCAAATGCAACCTGAGTTGAAAATGTAAAGTTTTTTTTTGTTATTTGTTTGTTTTCTAAAAACACGAACACTCAGGAATCTTTAACTGAAGTTATTTAGAGCTTTCTCTTTTCTTACAAGATAAAGTTGTAACATTATTTTCAGACCTATGACTTGAGCCAAAGCTTTAGAGGTTTGGTTACTTTGTGAAGGAAAGCCATTTAGCAAGTCTACCCCCCAAGCTTCATTTTTATATGGGAGATGCAAAACTTTTCTACCTATTGCCTATTATAGAGTTTTACATGTTAAAAAGCAAAAAAACCACTAAATGTGGCTCAGCCATGTGGGGTGGATGTCATCTTCCTTGCAAATAGGTTGGTTTCCCTCCTGCCAACCTTGAAGTTTCTATTTAATGGCAACAGAGTTCCCCAAACAATGTCTGATGGCCAAATAATTGAGAGACTAGTCTTATAAAAAGGATTAATTTGGTTGCATTCTGCTCTGTTGCAGCTGACAGAACTTCACAAGACAGCACCAACCCAAACCAGTCATGTGTGGTGATGGGTACCTGCTTGTGCAATACATGGTGTAGTGTGTGTGTTTTTTAAAACAATGGTTCCAGACATGGACATCAGGTAAAGAAAAAAAACCCCAAACCTATGAAAACTTGCTGCACATGGATCAGAAGGAGAAAAGCCAGTTGAATGTGGATATGAGTGGGTTTTACTTCAAGAAGATTAGAGGACTTTAGAATTCAGCTATGGCTCAAGCTCCACATGCTAAATAACAAAGGTATGTTTTGTACATATCTTTGGTAGAATTCATTTTAATTTTTGAACTGGATTCATTTTAAATTTTGAACTGGCATAAACAGAGAATGGATCTCATCAGAATTGGAAAGAACAGAAAACTAACCAGATACCCTTTTAAAGCTGTAACCTGCAGAGTAATGGGGGCTTTACCTGCTGCATGTTTGTTTCAGAGGGTCGGCTTTCAAGTTCTTCCTGAAGACGTTGACTCCTCCTCTCTGCTTGTAACAGCTGGTGTTGGAGCTGCAGGAACTGTTCCTTGGGCACCACAGCACAGCCTTGCTGCTGGAGCTCCCGGGAGTGCAGGGATTGACTAAGCATCACACTGCTGCTTGAGTGGAGCATCTGAGGAGTGAAGTAAAACAGCCATCAGGAGAAGGCAGCACTGCTGGGCATACAACACCTCTTAGTGATGCCCTAGACATCAGGTTGGTCTTGAACAATCTCTTGTAGGCTAGAGAAACAAGCCTGAACTCACTAACAGAAACTAAATAGACAACTTTTCTCTTTCTAAGGAAAAAAATGCATCTTTATGTGCAGTTCTGAACTCTAAAGAAATATGAGCCTTAAGGCTGGAGCCCCAGCACAGGAAGGACATGAACCTCTTGCAGTGTGTCCAGAGAAGGGCCACAGAGATGATCCAAGGGCTGGAGCAGCTCTCCTCTGGAGACAGGCTGGGAGAGTTGGGGTGTTCAGCCTGGAGAAGAGAAGGCTCCAGGGAGACCTTAGAGCAGCTTCCAGTGCCTGAAGGGGCTCCAGGAAAGCTGGGGAGGGGCTTGGGACAAGGGCAGGGAGGGATGGGATGAGGGGGGATGGTTTAAAGCTGAAAGAAGGGAGATTTAGGTTAGACATTGGGAGGAAATTATTTAGTGTGAGGGTGGTGAGAGCCTGGCCCAGGTTGCCCAGGGAAGCTGTGGCTGCCCCATCCCTGGCAGTGTTGAAGGGCAGGTTGGATGGGGCTTGGAGCAACCTGGGCTGGTGGGAGGTGTCCCTGCCCATGCAGAGGGGTGGGACTAGTTGATCTTTAAGGTCTTTCCAACCCAAACCAGTTTGGGATTTTATGATTTACAAGATCAGACCTGAATTTTAAATTAACTGAGTTTCTGATTAAATCCTATCGAAGTTAAATGGGCCTGTGATGAACTTAACAGGCTTTTTAAATCTTAACCTTGATCTCCACAGCTCTTCTAAAAATAGTACCCACTTCCAAATAAAAGCACTAGCATGAAGCAGGCTGAGGCTGCCCACCAGTGCTGATTATTTCTAGTCTGTAATCTAGGATGGGGAGATAACACTCCCCAAAGCAAAGCAGTGTCATGTATGATGACTTTAATAATTTGATGCCAGCTGCAGTATTGCATCCAGAATTTAGTATTCAGAATCCTATGTATGTTTCCTCATCTTCACTGCTAACTATAGGAATGTTAGCACATTTTATAACTGTCAATTTGAGTTGTGCCACAGAGTTCTGTAGTGAGGCTGGAGACCTGAGGGCATGTGCTGCACAAGAAGTGCACTTTGAGATGTGGATGCATGTAGTAATCTAGCATACTTTATTTCCAAATTTAAGTCTTGCTTTCACATTAAAAACATTACCAAATGCATCAGCAAGTCTATGTTAAGAGCCTAGGTTAGATAAATGGGTCCAACATTAGATGAACTTTTGGACAATATGAAGAGTTCAGACTAGTTCATGTGACTATTCAGCATTTTTCTGGACTAAAAGAAAATCCAGGTCAGACTAGCTCACAGTTCTAATGGGCAATAATACTAAAAAAAGACCAGAACTGGACACTAAAACCCCTGATGTTTCAGAGAAGCTGATTTACAACTTGAATTTGCATAAGGGTAATACTTTCTTCCCATAAAATTCAGCTGACCTCATTGTAAAACTCCCACCTGTTATCTCAAAACCACTGCTCTGAGGAAAAGGCACATAAGATTGTCAGTCCTTTCAATGCTCCTGTCACAAGTGGCAGGATTAAGGCCCCAATTTGTGATCATATTTCACTTATGATTGAGTTCATCTAGAATGGAAACAACTGTAAGCATTGTTCATACTGGTGCAGTTCTTCTGGCCATGTTAGCACCTCTACATCTCTGCTAGCCCAGGGAAATAGAAAAATCAGCTTGTAACTATTTACAAATAAATTTATTAGTATTTCTTTAAGCTATCAGGAAGTTCTCTTGAATCAACTTGCCCATAAAGGAGCTATTCTCTTACTGACAATATAAACAGTAAAAATAATGAGCTTTTGATGGAATTTTAGGGTGTTCTGTAATGTGGTGAAGCACAAGTAGCTAATGAAAGAGCTGAAGAAACAGCCAATTAACGTTAACTGCATCTTAAAAATACCAGTTGTGAGACTAATGAAAACCATATAGCTTTGCTGTATTCATTTGTGGCAGAGAGTGGAACAATAATGAGTTTGCTAAAGCATTTAGGAAGACACTGAGTGTGGTAACATATCAGTTAACATGAAGGAAGCATTTGGCAGTCTGGTGAAAAAAAGCATGCAAGCAGCAGAGGTAAATATGAAAACACCTTTAAGCCTCACAGCCAATGGGTTAGAAGGGTTGAGCCACTTTTCATTTTCTTAAAATCACTTGAATTCTTTTTGAATGGAATTGGTTCTTTTCTCTCCCTCTTCAGGGCAGTGCCTGACAAGTCTGCAACCTCTTGGCCTGCAGCATCAAACTGCAGGGTACACTAACCCCAAAACCAGTTCAGCTGCCAAAATAAAACCTTTACATGAAAATGAAAAGTGACTTCTTTGCTTAAAAGATGCGTGGAATTAAAAAAATATATATATACATCCATAAAAGCAAGACATGTTTTCTCCATGCTATGGTAGTAGATTGAAAAGGATTGCTCTACCTTCACACACTATTTCAGAAAGAGAACTGCACCCTTCTCTGCTAGTTCCAACCACTGAGTTCTAGACAGGTTAGCCATGGGCACAAGGAGAACAGGCACAAGAGAGAAAGTTAGAGGTCATAAAGCTCTAAGTGCATATTATACACACCTGCTGGGAAAATGAGATCAGGAGTAACACAAGTCCTGCATGTTTGAAATACACATTTTTAGGAGAAAACACAATTCCGTGCTTGGTGTTCATGCTACAGGGTTTAACACTGTTTGGGGTTTTCCCTAAGCTTAATTAAGACTACATAAACAAAAGTGCAGGGCATAGGAACAGGCTTGCAGTCACTTGTCAAAATCTCATCTTTTCTAATCAAGTTTTTACAGTTTTACTGCTGATTACACAGTACATTCAGCATGTTTCCCATTAGCTTACTTGATGAGAACCATGAAGTCTATTAATGAAGTGTTGTAAGAACATCATCTAGAAGATGCTTTGATTTGTCAAACAAGTAAAAAAAAAATAATTCTTGGGTTTTAAAAATTATATTCAATTTTAAACTCAAATTCAGAACATCAAGTTTAGGCAAGACAGCTGAGAGACAACTCAGGGGTGACCTAAAGGGACATGCTAAGGTAACAGTTAAGCTTGCCTGTTCCTCTAAGCAAGGACACTTAAGAATTAAGCAGTTTCCATAACATCCAGCATGACCCATCTCCAGCAGTACTGAACAAACATCCACATTTACAGCAGGCTTGGGAAGAACCTCTGCTGAAGTTTTCACTCATGCCTTTAGCTGAACAGCAAGTTGTGTAAATTGTTATTCTATCATTAGCTAGGTAAGATACCAAGGCTTAAATTCAGAAAAAAACCATTCCCCTAGTAAATAAGAACAGGTTTCTATATTAGGAGCAGCATTACACAAATATTAGTTAGGAAGCTTGAGGTTAGATGTTTTAGGAAGAAAGAGGAAAGTGTTAGCCTTGCCTCGAGCACAGAAACAAATCCCTCTGGTATTTGATTTTGTATCTTATACATCTTTTTATGCTGTGATGAGCCACAACATTCCTCAGAGAAGCATGTTTGTCACACTAACATCTTGATCATGAAAGGTGAGATTAGGCATTAGGGGAGATTCATTCTTCTAGTTTCAGTTACTTTTGTCTGTTCCTACACACAGAATTGCTTTTAAATTCCCAGGTTCAGTGAGACAGTGACTAAGCCCCACACTATTCAGCACAGTCACCACTAATTGACAAGTACCTCCATTAACTGATCATCCAGTTTGACTTGCTTTTTTCTTAGCCCTTCATTTTCTGAGCTCGTTTCCAGTTCACGTTCAAGAGAATTCATCTGACTGATCTATTAAAGACAAGAAAGTTCCTTAGAAAGACAGCACTTCCTTATTTTATCTGTTTTGTTGTCTTTTTTTTTTCAACAGGCAAGTCGTGAGTCATTGCACATCAAGACAAGTCAAAATGAAAAGACAAATATTTGGACAAGTGTAAGGCTTTGCTGAAAGTGATGTCGGTGACAATGTTACACAGCATCTCTGACAGGTTTCAAAGAACAGGCAAGGCAGCTGATTTTTCATCTACAAGTGGGAATGCTGGCAGTGCTATGCACTGGGGAGCACTGGGGCAGGCTGTGCTTTGGTTGTGGTTCCCTGTTTTACCCCTGAACTCTCTGTATTGACTCTCAGTCCTGCAGCACATTGGCAGACACTTCCACCCTGCACGCCCAGCAGAGGTACAGAAAACAGGCAGCTCCTTGGGACAGGGGTTGATAAAAGACAAAGAGCACAAAGCTCCGGGTAAACTAAAAAATAAATAAATCCCAGCTTCCCACATGAGCTCTTAGAGATGCCAAGTCCTGCAGTGAGGCACGTGTTTCCTGTCTAAAACTAACCTTCCTGTTTGCAGATGACAACTCCTTCTGAAGCTGTTCACACACACTATTCAAGCTTAATTTCTCTTGCTTTATGGGTTTGATGATACCTGACTGGCTCTGATGCTTTTGGTGCTTTAGGGAAAGGATGGTAGATTCCAGCTGTCGGATCTAAAGAGACCAGAGATGAACAAATGTGGAAAGACATTCCAGACCATTCAAAAAAATCAAACTGCATCTGCTTCATCTAAAATTCCCAGTACCAACTGATTTTGGACTCCCAGCAGATTTTAGCTTTGAGCAACAAAAGGTCATTCCATTCTTCCTCCCCATCATCTGCCTAAACACCGTGAGCCAAGAAACTGGACATGAAGAATGCCCAGAATATGAGGAGGTTTTTATGAAAGAAAAAATTAAAATAACATTATCTGAAAACCAGACCAGAATTATCAGGGTTTTCAAGAGTTATCAGGGTTTTCTTGTAAAAACAGAGCTGTTTGAAAGATGATAAGATGCTGTCTGTATGCACAGTGGAGATAGAAAGGAAAACTATTCCATCATGCAGGCCTTCTGCAAATGTTTCTGTTCCAAACTAATGGGCAACATTCCTCTCCTGCATTACCCACTGCTAAAGAAGAGTCATTCAGCTCTGCCTAGCACGCAGGGACCATCTCTGATCTGTCAGCTTGCTCAGGTTACCTTCTCTCTGGAGTGAGTCAGGTCTGTTTTAGTGCTCTGGACTTCCCTCTGCAGCCTCTCATTCTCCTGCCTGAGCAGCTCCTGCTCCTGTTTGGTCAGCTGGTCCAGTTCATCCCAGTGCAGCTGCCTGTGTTGGTCCTGCAGCCCTGAGGAAGGCACAGCCAGTTCTAGAACCCGGTTCTTAAGACAGACAGAATTGCAGGGTTAGGCCTTCAACAAAGAAGCAGACATTTTCTCTATTCAGGTGGGTTTTAAATAGGCTTTCAGTCATTTCGGACTCTAAAGTCCCAGGATTCCTCCCTTCCTCCCACCCTACACACTTTGCCACTAAGAAACCTCACATGATAATCACACCCAAAGTGCCTCCCTTTGCTAAAATCCCAGCTAATAGCTGTGCAGCAGCATGGCTGACAGGGGTGCACAGGGTTCAACACCACTAAAAAGCAATTTGTGCTCCTTTTCACAGCCTCATCAAGCAAATAATAGAACTCAGCATTATATTTTATTCAGTAATAGCCATAATTTAGTTCCTGTTGTACAATTCTGAAACAGCCTCTTTTCCATGTGGACATTAAATATTCCTTAATTACATGGCAAACAAGCCAAATTGCTAACTGAATTCATCATTCCAATCCCTAGACTGCTGTCTACAACCTCCTTCAATTCCAGTTCCTCATCAGTTAAAAGAGGCTGATATAATAATTTCAAAATGAAGTTTGACTGAAAATTAGGTCTCCCTGTCAATTATTCCTAATTCCCAGTTCCTAATAACTTGATAGTTTTGGATATGTTTAAATTAATACATTTTCCACCGATTTTTGAATATTTTTTTTTCCCCAAAAAGATTCCCTTCAGGGAAGAACAAACTGATTTTTGCCCATCTTCAGGCTCAAAACTTCTTTTAAGCTTTTTAAAGATAAGTTTCAAACCTACACATTATGTACAATCTGACAAGATTAATTACAGTTAACTATTTTAAAATGGAAAACTACCCAATACAGGTTAAAAGCCTTTTTTAAAAATCCAAATCCTTGTAAGATTTTTTTAAATTAGTAGTTTTATATCGTTTGTTTTAAAGAAAAAATTTATAGTTGCAGAACTGAGAGCCTACTTGCTCAAGCCTGTGGCACAATTTGTGGCCTTTTAGTGGACAAGCCAACCTGAAGACACAATTTGGCTCCAGAAGAGCAGCAGCTATTGCCCATAAACCCTGGCATGCAAAGCTGCCTTGGAAGCCCCTGCAGCCCATCACCTTTTCATTGGCATTCTGCAGCTGCTTGTGCAGAGACATCACTTCTTGTTTCAGGGTTTCATTCTCCTGCTGTATCATCCACTGGTCTGATTTTACTCGGGACAGTTGGAGGTTGGTGTTTTGCAGAGTTTCATCTAAATTCTGGACCTGTAAGGAGCAGGAGCACAAATTGAGATTTGATAGACCAAGGTTTCTCGTGACCTTGGTCTGCTGGGATGTGTATGCAGCACTGACCACACATTTAGGATCTCTGATGGAAGCAGTGAGGAATTTATGAGGCTGACACAGCCCCCTTTAACAGTGCTAAGTCATTTTCTGGCTTTCTGTTCCAACTTTTGGTGGTGAGACCCTGGCCCAGGTTGCCCAGGGAAGCTGTGGCTGCCCCATCCCTGGCAGTGTTGAAGGGCAGGTTGGATGGGGCTTGGAGCAGCCTGGGCTGGTGGGAGGTGTCCCTGCCCATGCAGGGGGGTTGGAAGGAGATGGTCTTTAGGGTCCCTCCCAACCCACACCATTCTGTAACTCTATGATTGGTAGCCATCCACTTTGAACACAGCCACCATAATGCAGTCAGAGACACATCTTCCAGCCCTGAGTATTGATTGGGATATGCTGGGAAGAGATTTCTCTTGAATTATTTATTCTTCCTGGCAGCCCATGGCCAACAAGAAACCCCAAGTGTAACCAGCCAAGCAGGTAGCCATTCCCCTCTCCTGCCTGGTGGGAGATGAGCCCCAGCAGAGCCTCTGCAGTGCTTTGGGAATAAATGAATTGACAAAAGGAATTTGGCTGTAGATGCAAAACAACACAGCTTCTTCTCAGGGAAAAAAAAGTCCCTCATAGCATTTAACAAGTTTCCTCCTGTCCTTCAAGAACATCACTTAGAAAGCCCATCAAAGCAGCCATTCTCAGCTGCACGACATCTTTGTACACAGTAGAAGGGGGCACGTTTTTCATGAAAGAAAAAAAGCACTACAAGGGAACATGGAAATGCTTTTGATCCAGGGCTCTAACCAAAAATCACCGTTACACCTTTTCTTGTGAGACAGTGAGTTGTGTTGTCAGTGTCTGGCTGTCCCAGGACTCCTGTTGCTGCTTCAAGCTGGCAATTGCATTCTCTAAGCAGCTTAGTTTGGCTAAGATTACATCAGTAAGCCTGACTCATTTGGGGATTTCCTTTAACTCAATTTGACTTTGGGAATTAAGCTACAGGGAGTTACAGCTCTGCAAAGAAAACAGGAGAGAGAAAAAAAAACAACCCCTCCTCAGCTCCCAGCCCGAATCTCCACACAAGAGGATCATTTTTTATAGTCTGCATGTTAGTCACACTGCTCCAGTTCAGAGCTACAACATGTTAGAGCTGCAATAAAAGAGCAAGAACACTGTCTTCCTTGTCCTGCTGCAGTATTTATATCCAGTCCTCTGCTCCTTGCAATGTTTGGAATTTTCTACATAATCAAATTACAGTAAAGCTGTGCTCCAGAATTTCAGCTTTCTCTTTAAGGCCAGCTAGAAAAAAAAGGCAGTGGCAATTAAGCCTTTATCTGGCTTGAAGGTAAGAAAAAAAAAAATCCATAGTAGTTTTACAGGTTAGGGTGATACAGATAATGAGATTAGAATTTTACCAGCTTGTTACAGGATGTAGGTAGTGATGGATTTGCAGTTCTTTCTTACCTTATCAATGTATCTGTTTAATTCCTCCCTCAGGGCTTCTTTTTCTTTCTGCAGCTTTTCATTTTTAGTAATTAAGCTGGACACTTCGTTCTGAAGGTCAGAGAGATCAGGACATCTGGGCAGCTGTGGAAAACAAGCCACTCACAGTCACATTCTTGTGCCAGTTCAGAATTTTCCATCCAAGTGTCACACAAAGCTTTCCCTTCTCCTCTGGGCCCAGTATCCCACTCCAGATGGAGTGGAAGAGAGAAGCACACTCCAGTTTGGTACCAGTGACTACAGGAGGATTGTTCATATGATCCAGGACATCCTTCCTGCAACAGCAGTGTTAGGGATTCCTAATTGCCCTCTGAACCCCTGGATTTCCTCTAGGGTTGGTCTTTCTGTGCCTCTTTTCTGTGAAAGGGGAAAAAATCCTGTCCTGCTGACTTCTGATCCTTTTCCCATTGGACACAATGCTTTTATCTTAACTCTCTGCCTTCTCCTGGGCTGTCTTTGCTCACTCAATCTTCTGTCTTTAATTACACTCAAGCCACAATCCACTCCTTACTGAATAGGCCTCATCTCCTTTTGCTTTTTAAGACCATTATCTACCCTAAGCATTGGGTGCATCAAATGAGTGCTCTGCAGTATAAAGAAAATTACTTTGTGGAGCCCTAATCAGGAGAGCTAACTCATTTGTAGCCTTCATTATCTGTGTTTATTAGCATATATTTATACAGCTGATTGAACCACGCTTAGAGAGGTGATAACCAGGAAATTATCCTCTGAAGTCATGTCAAAGTCACCAGATGGGTTTAGCAACAGGAATTCTCTCCAAGAGGACATTGCTGGAAGAGACCAGTCCAAGTGGAGCTATAGGGGTATCACCAGTTACAGAGGAAAAGGTTCCCCTCCCCACCCTGTCTGCACAAAGTAGAAAAGCTGTAACTGCTTGATTAGAGCTTTAATTCTTTGCTTTCATTGTCAAAGCCTGTCTTTGTGGATCCACTGCTATGGAAGACCTTTTGGAAAATGCTAAGTGAAGCCAACCTTACTTGAACAATCGTGCATTGTACATGGGGACTGTTTCAAAAGGATTTCCATTCCCCAACTGTTGTAAAGAAATTAACTATTCCCAGCTCAGGCAGGAGAGCAGGGCACATGGAGACAGCCAGCACTCCTTGATGGCACCCAACAGGACACCATACCTGCTTTGTCTTCTCCAGTTCCTGCTGCAGGATGTGGTTCTCCTGCTCCAATACATGAGCTTGAGCCTTCATTTTTGACAGCTCCATCTCCAAGGAGGACACCATGTTTGATGTCTGCAAAAAGCACCAGGCTCAGATTTCAACTTAGCAGACATGCAAAGTAGCAAAGGTTAAAGCAGAGGGTGCTGCAGCCAGGGACAGGGGTTGGAGCTGGGATGGCAGAGGCCTGGAGAGAACAGGCATGCTGGAACATGCAGCCAAGTATTTTGCATCACTAAGCTCCCTTGTCAAGACAAACCTGCACTCTTCCACCTCCTGCTTCTGGCTGCTGCCACACTTTCCTCCCACCCCCACTGCCACAT